ACACTGTACGCCTCCGGCATGCGCCACTACATGGGAGTTGGCTCTTTCAAGGCGAGCGAGCTCACCGTAGAAAATACGATACACCTGTCGACAAGGACCTCCTCCCTCATGAGCCGTCGGAGGCGAGCAAGCTCACCTATGTTTGAACCTGTTTTTCTTTTTCGAATGCAGGCATGTGCTGGTCCATAGGTGTTGACTCGGTTCGTCAGCATACAGTCGAGATCTCTGCTACTGCACGACGCATCCAAGACGATCTCGAAGCGGCCGCTGCTGCGACATGCGAGGAACCTACAGTGGTTTTGCAACGATTGCGGTGCACAGGGGACCGGATGTGTCACAAAACACGCGCGTTGCAAGGATGGTATCGAGAGACTGGAGACGAGGTGTTGCAACCGCAGGAGCTGCGGCACTGTTTTGCTTCGGTAGGCACTCACTGCATGGCATGCCCGGCAGTCGAATCTCGGGGCAACGACCATCCGGGGCTTGCTCCAACCATTGTTGCGCTATCATCGTTGTCATGCCTCGGCATAAGTACTTCTGCACTCAGAGTCACCGGAACAAAAAGACGTAAGTCGAGTATATTAAAGGCGTAGAAAATACGCAAAGCAGGCAAACAATGACCGCGTCACTCATGACCCTTCTGAGGCGACCTAGCTCACCTTTCTTTGAACAGGACTCTGTTTCGACGTCAGTCATGTGCTGGTACATGGGTGTTGACTCTCTCAAGGCGAGCAAGCTCACCGCACAAAATACGAAACGCGTGTCGACAATGCCCTCCTCACTCAAAACCCGTCGGAGGCGAGCAAGCTCACCTATGTTTGATTTTTTTTCTCTGTCGAGCTGCTGCGACATGTGCGCAACCGAGAGCGGTCTCGAAACGATTGCGGTGCACAGGGGACCGGATGTGTCACAGAACACGCGTGTTGCAAGGATGGTATCGACAGACTGGAGACGAGGTGCTGCAGGAAAGGGCGCGAGTCTGCGATGGAAGGTGTATCAGAGGACGCAGAACAGCAGTGGTTGGTGCTTTTCTGGGATATCACGCCCCTGGGTGTCCTCTGCGGCAAGAACGAAACACTAGCGCCCACCAGTTGCGGCCTGCTTGTTGTCATGAAGTTGACCGATCGAAAGCTCCCTGACAGGTGCATTCACCGGGTTCACTTTCGGTTGAAACAGGACAGCTCCACGCACGCACGCGGGTCCCACGGTGTGAGACCAAGGCTCTCTGACAGGTTTACGTTGAAACCCTCTACACTAACGTGTCCGAACGAAAGCTCCCTGACAAGTGCCTTCAACAGGTAAGACAAGGCTCTCTGACAAAATGCGAGTTTAGGAAATGTGGTAACTCCTTTGTGTTTTGTGTTCTATGCGTGCACGACGCTTGATCGCACCTCCGACCACATTTGTCTACCGCCTACTTGCCTCCGGCCCTTTGGC